TTGGTGCTCCGTTTGCACAAGTAGGAAAAAGGAGCTGAGCTGAGAGTGAAATACTCCTGAGGTACTGGAGGTCACCGGTGAAGCTGCCATTCCCATGTCCGTTAATTCATGCGACAACTGCAAGTACCCTCTCCCTGAAGAGACTTGAGCTTCCTCAACTATGGAAACCCATACTGCCGATTAATATGAGTAACTTACAGCATTAGAGTGTGTTGTCTTGATCCACTTTGTAGTTTGCAAAAGATACCCAAAAGGCGGACTTAGACAGGCTGTGCGTTGATAGCAGTTTTACCCACAGTTTTTTGCTGATGTTTCCACTGCTGCCTGATATAACGTAGAGTGATTCGGCTTACCCGTTTGTTCTCTTGCATCTTCATAACGGTTTTCGTGTAGCAATTCCAGATAAATTTGAGGTTGATAAACTCGAAAAGCCATTAGTTTAGCGCTCACAGAATAATATTTAAGGTTGATCCTGATTCGGGTCAATAGTTACCATCATGTTTTGGGCAGTTTTAGTTTTTAATTAATTTATGAAATTTGTGTTTATATACACAAGGCATATTAGTTTGTGGATATATAATAGAAGACGCTTCTTCAGACAAACGATAAATTAGCAGAGGACCATTGGTATCGTAACCTTAATGCTTTTGAGAGCCCATAAAACAGTTTCTGCTGAATATCCTCACTATCCTCCTCATCCAAATGGACACTGCTATACTCTGATAGCTTTCAAGTTTGTTGGACATAGTAACGGCCTCTGCTTATTGAAAAATGTAAGCAGGGGAGAATATGCTGTCCGGATGGCGAGAGGCTGAAACGGGTATTTACATGCATGCTTGAGAGAATAAATAAACCGTAGGTATTTCATCAATCTGTCTTGTTGTCAGTGGGTTGTAATTCAATCCAGAGAAGTGGCTGTATAATTGATCGCAATCACCCAAACCAGTTGTTTTCTCATCATTTTTCGCAAATTGGCGCAATTGGGGTATAACTAAAAGTCGTCTATCGCGAGGTAAGATAGCCTAGTTCACCCTTGGGAGAAATTATTGTTGTCTTCTCGTGTTTACGCTATAATCGTTCACTCAACCAAACATGCACCTTGTCCATAAGTTACGAGGCTAACCAAGGCAAAGTTATGCGCGGGCTTAAAATACAGACGCCCTTATGATTTTATACCATTTGATTGGACCATAAGGCAAGGTGGACTATAACATTTATCCTGAACGGGGATGGAAAAGGGCTCCTAGGTCAGACACAAGGTGGAGACCCTGTGTCTTACTACGACCGATCCTGTCTCCAAGCAACTTGATCTAGACAAGCAAACGTGAATGTGGCCGCTAGCTCCCGGCAGATGTCGAGGTAGACTGTGATGTTGTCTTCTTACTGTAATACCTGTGACGACTCCGGGATGTGAGGACTCAGAGTTTGGATTTTGGTTCATGTATATATGTTTGTGTAAGAGAGAGATCAGCGATTTTTGATAAAAAAATTGTGTCAGCTCAACCATCCAGAATAATCTTATATTCAGCGTGTTTACCTCTCCTCCTGGTTATCTTGACCCCCTATTAACAAATGCACCAGGTGAAAACGGAGGGTTTAGTGCGGTTGATGCTACGTAAGTCGACTATCACTGTAAGCTAATTCACACGCACATTGCTGTCCCTGCACCCTTCCTGTCATAGGGCGCAGGGTGGAAATCCTCGGAAGCGACCACCAAACGGTCCTTGTTGATCTTGTCTTGTCTTTGAAACATTGCGTGTTTGATTCAGAATGTGAACCAGACTTTGCCGAATTTTGTACTGCTTGTCACTCACTGCTCCAAGATAATTGCCATAATCGTCTCATGTGACAGATCGTCTTTCGGAGTAAGAAGGGCAGTTGGTTTCCCGAGTTTTCTTAATTATCCTTGCCAGGACCTTTAGGTTAAAATTCTACACCTGATTGTTTATTTACCATCTGCTCGCCCGGTAGTCACTATTACAAAAACATGGCTCAGCGTTTATTGTTCTATCTTCCAGGACCGACGAACCGGACTCTCAAGCAAAGAGCATACGACTGGAAAAATATACGACTACATATTCACTACCAATAACCAAAACGGGTCCAAAATGCCTAACGATTGGCATTTCAAGGAAAGACATATTTCCAGCGCAAACGCTTGATATCTGTTCTCAGGGTGCCGGCGTGAAATTAAAGTAGGTTGAAGAAAATGTTAAACTTGCCTTAAATTGTCTACTGATAATATGTCAGTAGGCACATTAATCTGAGTAGAGTTATTCTCGTTCGGACTTGCTGCAGAGATGAGTGTTGACAACATTTTGTTTATTATTCTACAGCGTCGGATATGGTTCCCTTACCATGACCGCCAGAATCCCAAAAACAATACCTGCTAAAGATGTTACTGTCATGTTCAAGAAGGGCAATAAATGTTTTCTTGTCATCACCCATGCGGGAGCCCCAGACGTAAGCTCAAAACTTTTTTGAATTTATATACTCTTAACGCTTAACTATGAATGATCTATGCTGACAGACTCGTACTCACTGTTATTCGCAGACGCGAATGTCCCTCGATGCAGGGAACTATGATGTATGACAAGAAAAAAACACAGGTTGTCTTCGCGCCTTTTATTCAAAATGGACTTGTCGCCTAGTATGAGCTCTAATCCAGTTCATTGGCGGTTGAGCCTCACATTCTTATAAATATTAGAAATAAGTAGTCCATTTTAAGTTGCATGAGCTGTTTAATCTGTATTTTTTAAGAACTCTCAAGCAAGTTTGGAAATTTTTGGCTTTTTAAAATGTTAGATACAATACGATGATTAACATGTAAACATATAAGGCTGTCATAGAAGTAATGCAGAACTTAATTTTTGCTGGGGTGAATTTTCCTTTAGAACACCCTGTTCTCAGACTGCTCAGACGGTCTCACGGAATATCGCATCGCAGTTGATTTCAAAAAACGGAATGCGGAGGCGGAAATTCAATTTATACCCCTCTTCTCTGTCAGTAAACTCCTTTCAAATGCAATCAAGGTTACTCCAGGTAAACTTTGCTTTAGAATAGAAAGTTTTAACGTGTATTTACTATCCTTGGTACTGCGCGACAATTCCTTAAAAACTACAAGGCATACTGAGAGTCAAGGCACAGCTCATTCTAAAAAATATCTCACTGGAACTTTCATGTAGCAATCTCTAACAAACTTTGGTAAGATTAGGTCGTGGGGTTGGATATTTTCTTTAATAATAACCAACTACTTAAAAAAATTCAGTAGGTCTTCTTTCATGGCCTCTCCGTTTTTCGCGCGCAGAACTGAGCCCGTAAAAGTAGACCTACTGAAAATTTGTAAGTAGTTGGCTATTATTTATAAGAAAATATCCAACCCCATGACATAATCCTACCAAAACTTTTTATCTTAGCACATTGATGTTACAACATCACGCGTTTCTGAAACGCAAATGGTGCTCAGACCCATGCTACTATCGGGCCACATAAGAAATCTTTATTTTTGTTTTATCGAATTGCCGTTGTTTGGGGTCCTTACTTCATGTTTTTACCTTCTCCACAGAGTTTGGTCTTCTCGGCCTTGAGGTTCTCGGCGCTGATTCAATTTGGTTGGGTTGGAATTCTACGGAGACAGCCTCTAACGCCGTTTTCAAGGCTTTCGTAAACTATGTAGCCAGTCCGACGTGCGCTGTTTCGGACGCAGGCGGGGCCCTCCAGTGCGTGATTGGCGGACTTGTGGGAAACACCGTCTACAAGGTGCAACTGTACCTTTGCACCGGTGTTGAAGAATCTAGTCTCTGTGAGGCGGAATCTCCTCTAGAGGTTGTGAGAACTCCTCCCAGCAGTAAGTGTTAATTACTTTTTTAGAAAGGCTATAAACAGCCACCTAAGCAGCCGAATACTACACAGTTCGGTGGAATCGATTTTTTTACTTACGACAGGGGAAAAAGCAAACCCCAAGTATTGATGTGTCTATTTGATTCCTTCAAAGTTTAACCAGTACTCACTTGGGCCTCCTGAACAGCAGTGTTGGTACACTTACTGTAAGATGGCTTACCGTTTCTAATGTTGCAGGCATGACCCCTAAAGCATGAGGCCTAAAATAATGCACAAGTTAGTTTGTTAAATGTTCAGACTACGTAAATAAAATAAGTAGTAACTCTATAGCAATAAGTTACATGCTGGCGCATGTGCGCATTTCGGTGGAAGCATAAAACAGCAGTTTCCTACACAACACGACGCCAAACCGACGAATGGCAATGAGCTGAAAGGTTACAAAGAAAAAAAGCCAGTAAAGTGTAGGAAAGTCATCGTGTGCAGTTTACGCGAAAATAAGGAAATACATCATAGAAGGAGATGTCATTCTGGAAAGCAATTTTTCCTTTATATACGAACAAAAGGACAGATGGACGTCTTTGTGCTTTTTTGCAACATTCACATCTACTCACCCATCCTTTTCCAAGCATTTTTGTTTTCATTTATTGTTCTTCGTTCTTCTCATCGTCCAGCCAACTTCAAAGCGTTTTACCTCCTTAAAGATAATCATTAGCTAAGCTCTCGATTAAAAAGAAATTGTGGACAATGGATGTATCCTTCCTAAGCAAACATTGCCTGCGTTTAATCGTGCAGTAAAACGTAAATTTGCTTCAGGAGACCGCCGCTACCGATGGTGTCCATCGCGTACCTTGCAGAATGGCAGGTGTAGTGATGGTGACCTGCGTATGACTTACCTTACAGTGAATGTAGACTTTCGCTGCATCCTCTTCACTTGCTTCTCCCTCACCCGCTTGCGCCCAGTGTAAATATAGAGTCAGGAGGACCAGAGGCGATGTCGCTCGAAGTGGCTGACCAGGTCAAGCCGACCGCCTACGCGTGCAATACGCAAACCGATCCTCATAGATCACGCGAGATTTTCACATTACGGAGGATAGCCACTTGGAGCTCACCCGCAACATTGCGCTCGAACCTTTTAGTTCACATTCGAGTCCACCAGTCACTCACTTCACGTGAAAACTCGGGGGCTACAGTCCTCAGACTCAACCTCACTCCCACGCCCAGGCAGCAGTCCACTGTTAAAGCATGCATGAGACATGGTACTAAAAAGTGACCAAATGAAGGCTCATCCCTACTGCATAAAAAGGTTACCTAGGTCTCTGTTGGATGAATTGAGAGCCGCGATGTCGTTTTGCCGTCAAGGAGGATGTAGGCAGCTGGACAACTATTCCACCCTTTATTCTATCTCTTCCCAGAACCCTATCCCGTCACCTTCACTGAAGTCAACTCGGTGGGTACAAAAGTCAGCTGGCGTGCTCCAGACGGAAATCATCTCCATCTGCAGAAATACGTAGTTCGGGCTCTGCCTGGGGTAAATTCCTCGGCTGCACCGG